ACAAGCAAGAAAGTTCCCCCCCTCTTCCTCCTCTCCACACTCAGTCTCATGTGCACACCCGCCCTTAACCTGAGCAGCTGAAAAGAGATCAGACCCAGGAGGGAAGGTTTGTCACAGAATGGCCATGGCAGATCCAGTTCTTCTGCCTGGGAAATATATTTACCATTTTGTTCCTGAACAAACCCCAGGGAAAGCCCACTTACTAATCAAAAACTGCATCCAACCCTCTGCCAACTTCTTCTCTGTGATTTGTTGGATCCAGAGCATGGAATTGAGTCACTTGGGCTAGATTGGAAGAGAACAAGCATCTCTAACTCTGGAACCCCAGTCCCCAGGGAGGGAAAACAGATAAGGGAGGAAGAAGGAGAGAAGAAGAAGGGAGCACAACTTGGGGTGGAAGATGTGGGCTGTGTGGGGAGCCACCTCTCATTCAGTCATTCAACAAACATTTATTGAACACTGCCAGCATGCCTGGCATTGTGCTAGGGAATACAGTACCAGGGTGGGGAGAAGCACAACGTCCCTGCCCCTTCTGGAACTGACATTCATTCCAGCTGGGGAGATGGACAGTGAGCAGGAGAAGTAAGTATAGAGGAAGAGAGGAATTATGAGAAAAATAGAACCAGAATTGGGATTAGAAATGAAAGTTGCAACAGTAAAGGGCCATTGGGGATGGCCTCTCTGAGAAAGTGACATTTGAGCAGAGATCTGAAGGAAGAGAGGGGAGCCACGTAGGAAACTGGGGGAGAAGCATTCCAGGCAGAGGGAATAGTGGGTGCAAAGGCCCTGAGGTGGGACTGTGCTTGGTGTTTGAGGAGGTGGTGTGGCTGGAGTGATCAGGGGGAGGATAAGAGGAGAGGAGGGCCTGGAGGTGATGGGGTCGAGAGGTGGCACCTCTACCATTCAGTAGCTCAGTGACTGTGTTCTTTTCTGTGGCTGCCATCACAAAGTACCGCGAGCGGATGGCTTAAAACAACGGAAATGTATTCTCGCACATTCTGGAGGCCAGAAGTCCGAAATCAAGGTAACAGCGGGGCTACACTCCCTCAGAGACTGGATAGAGTTCTTTCTGGCCTTGTCCTGACTTGTGGCGGTGGCTGCCAACCCTTGGCATTCCTTGGCTCACAGCTGTGTCCCTCCAACCTCTGCCTCCGTCACCCTAAGGCTGTCCTCTCCCCTGTGTGTCCCCACCTTCACCTGGTGTTTTCCTCTTAAAAAGACACCAGTCGTATCAGATTAGGGCCCCCATCATGATTTCGTCTTAACTTGATGGCAGCTACAAAGATCCTGTTTCCAGGTAGGGTCACGCTGACAGGTACTGGGGGTTAGGACTTCAGCATATCTTTTGGGGGTGATACCATGCAGCCCACAACAGGGACCTTGGAGCATAGGAATGACTTTACCTCCACGTGCCTCAGGTTCCTCATCTGTGAAGATGAGGATTGTGCACCACCTGTTGTGAGAGTATTAAATGGGCTCCAGTAGACTGACACTCCTGGTACCGAGTGTCTGCTGTTATGCTGGGCAGCATCACAGGGCAGGTGGTTCTAAGTATGTCAGGAGCCAGGTGTGGGAGGATCCTGAAGTGGAGGCACCAAGGTGTCTCAGCTGTTTCTCCCAGTACACTCTTGCCACTCTCCCTGCACCCCCAACTCCTCGTCTCCATCCCAAGCCTGCTTCCTGAGACAGCCCAGATATCTTTCTGCTGTTGGCCAGTGCAGGCTCTCTCCCTGGGCTATATTTAGCCCTAAGAAATGGGAACAAAAGGCTTCAGCCACAGCAGCAGCAGCAGAGGGGGAAGCACAAAGCCAGTCCTGCTTTCCATCCAGCCCTGTTCTGCTGACCCCTTTTTTCCTTCTAGAACCTTCCAGAAGCAGAGCATTGGAACTCTGTTAGAACAAGGCTGTGAGCTGGGGACTGGCACATTCATTGTCCCCAGAACCTGTCTGTGTCCATGATGAAAGTTAGCTCTTTTGGTTTGTTTGTTTTCCTTTCTTCTAAAAAAAAATTATTATTGTCAAAGAAACATAACCTAAAATTTACCATCTAAACCATTTTTAGGTGTCCAGTTCATTGTCATTAAGTGAATTCACATTGATGTGCAGCTAGGAGCACCATCTATCTCCAGAATTTTTTAATCTTGCAAAACTGAAACTCTGTCCTCATTAAATATGAACTCCCATCCCCCTCACCCAGCCCATGGCATCCATCATTCTACTTTCTGTCTCTGTGAATTTGACAATTCTGAGGACCTCATATAAGTGGAGCCATGCCTTTTTTGTCCTTTTATGTCTGGTTTATTTCACTCAGCATAATGTATTGAAGATTCATCCATATTGAAGCATGTGTCAAAATTTCCTTCCTTTTTAAGGTAAAGTCGACTTTCTTTTAAAAATAACACCTTTTTTCTTCCAGGTGAAGTAAAATAAACATACAGAAAACCCCACAGATCTTAAGTGAGGAACTTGATGAATTTTCTCAAACTGAACACACAGGTGTAACCAGACCCAGATCAGGAAACAGAACCTCACCACCACCCCCTGGTGTGTCCCTTCCTCAATCACTACCTCCCCCGAGGGGTGGCCTATCTGGACCTAAACCTCAAACGTCATGGACTCATTTGCCTGTTTTTGTATTTTGCATGAATGGAAGTTTACGTGTGTGCTCTTTTCCATCTGGCCTCTTTTGCTTGACATCAACTCCGTAAGGTGTCACGTGATGGGTGGCAGTCATTCATTGTGTAATAGTCCATTTATTTATTCTCGCTCCTATTGACAAGGATTCGGATTGTTTCCAGCTTGGGGCTATTATGAAGATCACCGCCATGAACATTCTTGCATGTGCCTTTGGCATACACAGGTTCACATTTCTGTTGGATAACTACCCAGGAGTGAAATTTGCAGGTCATAGTGAAGGTGCGCAATTAACTTAAGTAGAAATTAACATCCCGTTTTTCAAAGTGGTTTTACTATGTGTTATGGATTCAATTGTGTCCCTTCCAAAATTCACACGTTGAAGCCCTAACTCCTAGTACCTCAGAATATTATTTGGAAATGAGGTCGCTGCAGGAGTAATTAATTAAGATGAGGTCATTAGGATGGACCCTAATCCAGTGTGACTGGTATCCCTATGGAAAGGGGAATTTGGACACAGAGACAGACAGGCACACAGAGAGAACATCATATGTTTGATAAAGTCAAAGATCAGGGTGATGCATCTACAAGTCAAGGAACCACCAAAGTTTGTCAGCAAGCCCCTAGATACCAGAGGAGGAGCACGGGACAGAGCCCTCTCCCTCAGAGCCTCCAGAAGGAACCAACCCCACTGATATGCTGCTCTTGGATTTCTGGCCTCCAGAACTGTGAGCCAATAAATTTCTGTTGTTTTAAGCCACCCAGTTGATGGTTCTTTATTACAGCAGCCACAAAAAACTCATACACCATCTTGCCATCCCATTGGCAATATGTGAGCATTCCAGTTCCTCCACATTCACCAGCACCTGGTAGTGTCAGTCTTTCTCATTTTAGGCTTTCTGCCAATAGGCACTGAATGTGCCTTTAAAGGTGAGCTTTTAAAGCCACATTTGTGCCCCACCCCCACCCCTCACCCCCATTCTGCAGCTGCCACAAAGCATATGAACCACCAGAAGGCTCCCCGTTGTGCTGGTTGCTGAAGCCAAGGCTTTCCCAACACAGAGGTTAAGTTCTGGGGCCTAGCCATCTGGTTCACATTCTGTGTGGACACACTATCTAGCTCTGTGACCTCAGACTGGTCTTTATGGGCCTCAGTTTCCAGTCATCAAATGGTCATGACAATTCCGTAGGGACATCAAGAGGATTAAATGAGTAAATAAGCCAACATAGGTAATGTGTTTAGAAGAGTGTCTGGCACAAATAAGTACTCTGTAATTAGTGGTTTTTATATTTTTCTTTCTCTATTCTTGATTTTCTTCCCTTTCTCTTACTCTTTCTTGGTTCAGTCTTCTGTCCTCCCAGAGAAGAATGTTTTATTTGTGGACTTCTTGCCCCTTGAAAATTGATCTGGGTGTTTCTGGGAATTTTTCTGTGGTTGACATTGAAGCTGCAGGCAATAGAGGAGGGAGAACTTGAGGGAAAGGTTCACAGTGCTGCCATCTGGCTCGGTGATTTAACCTAACCTTCAGACCCTGCCATCCTCCATCTGCTCTAAGGGGAGCGCGTGACTCTTTAGGGGAGAAGGGAGAGAACCAGGGATTCATTTCTACATTTCAGTGGGCTTTTGCCCTCTTCTCCTCCTGGAGTTCAGTATGGAGAGTCTTTCTGAGTTTCATGCTGATTTCTGGTGCTCTGAGGACTACGTGAGGAGGGAGCTCTGTCCTTCTAATGGTACTTCCAGTGGTACTTCCCAGTTGACCTTGTGCTCCGTTTCCCTCTCTGGGCTGCCAGAGCTCCAGGTCTCCACAGGTCAAGGGCATTTGAGGACAGAGCCCCCAAAGAACCAGAGCTCCCCCTTCCCCACCTGTCAGGTCATACCTGAGTCCCACTCAATGCTCACCTTTTTTCCCTCCTCACCCCCATAGAGCAACGATGCCTCAGGGAACACTTGGAACTGGTTGTACTTCATCCCCCTCATCATCATCGGCTCCTTTTTTATGCTGAACCTCGTGCTGGGTGTGCTGTCTGGGTAAGTCTCTGCTACTCCCCCCATCCCAGTCCCCCTCACCATCTTTTTCCCAGGAAGAGGCCACAGAAGTTTTGTTTTCATTCTCTAGGCAGAGAATAGGCCTCTTCTCTTGCTTTGGGTTAGCTAGACAGTTTTGAGCAAGCCATGTACAGATGCATATGTTGTGCACTTCTGGGGACACACAGTAAAGAGACTCTTGGGGGTTGAAATTCAGCCCAACCTTCACTCACAAAGCTATGTCCCTGGCACTGAGCTACCTCCATCCAGTCAGAGGGAAGCTTCTTTTAAATGCAGACCTCTCATTCAGGTTTTCTCAAAATTTTCAGACCCAGAACCCAAAACACAAGAAAATTTCTATAGAGTTTTGATTTCTATAATTTACATTTTTAAAAAACCCAATAGGCTGGGTTTCCCCCACCCACCTATTTTCCAAATATAAAATCATATCATACAATCAAATATGCATTTTTCATAACACACATTGTCCCCAACCCCCAAGATTGTTTTTCTGGCTTAGTCATAAATAAGTTTCATTTTTCTCACCACAAGAAGTCTGGGGACTAGTTTGGTGGCACCGTGGTGCCATCATGGACCCCAGTTCCTTCCAGCTTTCCACTCTGATATCCTTATCAGAGGCATTAAATCTCACGAATGCTTCATAGTCTCAAGATGGCTGCCTCATGCTCACAAGATAGCCACCTCACACTTCAAACAGAAAGAGGAAGAAGGGAAATGGGAAAGGGTGGGACCTATGTCAGGGATGCCAGGCTGATGCAGAAATCTTTAGCTCATGTCTCATTGGCCTAACATAAAAGAGGAATGAAAATATTCTTTAGCTAGGAGTTCAGAGAATGAGAATGGGTATGCAGCCAGCAGTGGTTGGCATGGCCTGGTTTATGGTTTTGGTTTTTTCCTCTAACTGGGTGCAGTTGTTGGGGAATGTGGGAAGCTAGCAGAGATACCCACTCCTGTAATATTCTGCTCTTCTCCCAGGAGACCTGATTCCTCTTGTTGAAATGCACTACCCTCCTGGGAAGTGCACCCCCCCACACACACACACACACTCCCTAAAATTTCTAAAACAGCCAGACCTGGCTCTTCTGTGCTTCTTCAGGGAGTTTGCCAAAGAAAGGGAGCGGGTAGAAAACCGGCGGGCTTTTCTGAAGCTGAGGCGGCAGCAACAGATTGAACGAGAGCTCAATGGGTACATGGAGTGGATCTCAAAAGCAGGTGAGGCCCTTTCATCCTGGGGTCGGGAGTTGAAATCCCAGACCAGAGAGCGCACGGAGAGTCATGCATGCGTTTTGGAGATGGATGAGGGGAGGGTACTGATGGGAGGAGAAAGAGGATCTGAACTGGAGGTCCCCATTTTTAGCACCAAGAATCCAGAGAGTTGCAGCCAGGATGTGACAAACACAACACTTAAGAACCCTAAAACCAGACACTGTTTATTTCCCAACTCTGCCACCCCCTGGCAATGCACCTCTTTGTGCCTCTGCTTCCCTGCCTGTCAAACAGAGATAATGATAGTACCTACCTCATAAGGCTGTTTGAAGAGTCTATAAGATAATCCTAGCTAAGTCACTTAAGAAGAGCAGTGCTTGGCATACAGTAGGCACACGTTTATTTTTTCAGTCATTCAGACACTTACCAGGTACCTGCTGTGTGCCAGGCACTGTTCTAGGCCCTGAGGATATGGCAATGAACAAAGTAGATCAAATTGTCGCCTGTAGGCAATTGTTGCCTCATAGTCAAGTGGGAGAGACAGAAAAATAAACAAATACTTATAATGTTGGGTGTTGCCAAATGCTGAGAGAGAAAATAAAACAGGATAGGAGGCAGAAAACAGTCCAAGAAGGCAAGATGAACAGAGAGGGTCTCTCTGAGGAGGGGAACTCTGAGCAGAGACCTGAAGGAAGTGAAGAAGGAAGCTCTGTACATGTCTAAGGGACGGGATTTCCAGGCAGAGGGAACAGCAAGTGCAGAGGTCCTGGGGTAGGAACAGAGTTGAGTCTTAGCAAGAAAACCAATGTGGCTGGAGCTGGGTGAGGGGGTGAATGGGAGGAAAGAAGGACAGGGAGGTGATGGGAGACACCTCAGGCAAGGCCTTACAGGCTATGGTAAGGAGGTCAGTTTTTATTTTGAAGGAAGTAGGGATAATGTTGGCTTTGTGACTGTTGCTGAAGTGGGACTGAGAGTCAGAAGCAAGTGAGCAGCACATTTCTGGCTGATTGAGCTGTCACATCAGCAAGAGGGGAGTGGAGGTGGCTGGGCGGACCCTTCTCCTTTCTGGTTCAAAGGAACCTGTCCCCAGGAGAGTCCTCCAGACGCTGGAGCTTAACTGTGTGCTCTTCCTCCTCAGAAGAGGTGATCCTCGCCGAGGATGAAACTGACGGGGAGCAGAGGCATCCCTTTGATGGTAACTGCTCTGAGCCTGGCTCAGGGGGTGGGTCCCAGGGGACACAGGAGCAGCCAGTGCCAGGGAGGACAGGCTACTCGGTTCTAAGTGGCCTCCAGGGGATGGATGTTCAGAGCCCAGGTAATAGCAAGAACAAACACAAGACCAGGTCAGGCTCAGGAAGATCTGGTTAGTGGTAGGAATCTGCATCCTTGAGGAATCTCAGCACCTTGACACAGGGTTTTTGTTTCCTTGCCTGCCTTTTCTGCTTTGACGACATCCCCAGCTTCTTCTGCTTTGTGCCTCTGTTTTCCTCATCTGTAAAATGGGCACAATAATAATACCTACCTCAATGGATTGTTTATGAGAATTACATTAATCATTGCCAATAGAATGCATAGGGAAGTGTCTGGCTTGGGTTCAGCCTGCTCATGTTCATGAAGTTCAATAAATAATTTCCCCAAGAGTCCAGCTTACAGTTGTCTCACACATTAGAAATTTGGCGAGACTGAGCAGTAACTTTTGCAAATTTTTTTTGGTGGGAGGAGGTAATTAGTTTTATTTACTTATTAATGGAGGTGCTGGGGATTGAACCAAGGACCTTGTGCATGCTAAGCATGTGCTCTACCGCTGAGCTATTCCTTCCCACCCCTCTGAACAATGACTTTTCTTTTTTTACTGAGCAATGACTTTTGATTGAAGATACTAGGAGTGAGAAGGAAGGAGGGAAGCTGGGTCTCTATCCCAGTAGGTTATAAAATGGATTTTACCATTTACAGGAAGGGAAAGAGATTACCCCTGGGGGTGTCTAAATCACTTTATTGAAAGCGGCTGCCTGAACTCATTGTCCCCTGGAGGGCTCTTGTGGGTGCAGGACCTAAATATTGAGAGAGAGCATCCACCCAGCCTAGCAAGTGCACTAAATGTCAAAGGGTGAGCTGTCTTCATAGGACTCACTACCTGGCCAGTCCCAGGGCTCCCAGAGGGGAAGTGATGGCTGAGAACCCAGACTTAGAGTCAGACTCAACAGGGCTGAGTTCTCATCTTTACTCCTTGGGCAGACTCATGTATCTCCCTGAGCCTCTGTCTCCACAAACATAGACTAGGTGCACGGTTACTTCCCACCAAGCCAGATTGCTACGTGGGTTAAGTCCAACGAGACATAGAGAATCCCTGGCAGAGTGCCTGGCACCCAAAGACGCACTCGGTCTATATGGTGGTTGTAGCTTAAAGGGTAACGTCTTTTTCTCTTGCCATGTTTCCATTGTTGGAGCTCTGCGGAGAGCCACCATAAAGAAAAGCAAGACAGACCTGCTCAACCCCGAGGAGGCCGAGGACCAGCTGGCCGATATCGCCTCTGTGGGTAAGTCCCTCCCGCTGCCGCCAGCCCATCATTTATTACTGATCACCCATGAGATGGAGGGTGAGAACTTGGGGACCAGGCTGCCTGGATTGGGATCTCGACTCTGCCCCTTCCCACCAGTGTGTCCAGGGGGCAGATGACATGATCATGGGAATGATAACAGTGCCTGTTTTCTGATACTGTTGCAAGAAATAAAACTAAATAATTCACATATATCATTTAAAACGATGCCAGGTAGAGAATAAGTTCCCAATGATGTTGGCTAATATCATCATTCATTCATTATTCATGAATAGCATTATTATTCATTAGCTCTTATGGAAGGACTACTTTGATTAGGTGCCCAGTTGTGAACAAGATAGAGACCAAATCCCTACCCATATGGAGCTTGCCGTCCAGTGCAGGAAATAGATAATAAACATATAATTAATTAAATAAACCTGTAATGATAGTGACACTGCAGTGGAGATGCTCAGGCTTGGTCTGGAAGAGTAGAGTGTGGTCAGGGAAGGCTTCTCAGAGGAGGTGACATGGAAGCTGAGAACTGAAGGGTGAGTAGGAGTTCGCCATGGCAGTGATAGCAGAGAGAACCACATGGAAGGCTCAGGCTGTTGCCATTGGTTATGGCAAAGGGCAGAGTTTGAGGTGGGAGGGGACAGTTACTCTTTTCCTTCTCACCTCTCTTGATGGGTACTATGTTGTTTATCACCTTCTTTAAGGAGACTCTATTATTTTTGGAAATGGGTTTTTAAAAAATTCCAATTATGAAAGAGTAAGTAAGAGAGCTCCGAGGCAGAAGAAATAACACATGACACTAAGGGGAGAAAGCATTAAAGGGAATCTGTGTGGCTGGAGCAGAGAGGAAATGATGGGAGAGAGAAGGAGGTGGGGAGGGAATTGAAAATATACACGTTTCTATTCCCCAGGCACCAACTACTTTATACTCTGCTTTTTTTTTACACTCACCCCGAGCTTATCACCTTACTGCTGAGTTTCAACCTCATTTCCATGGCAGTCCCACGCTCCAGAGGGTGGCTGCACTACAGTTTGCTCAGCCATGGCTCTATTATATGGTGTTTGAGTTGTTTCCAATTTTTGCCCTTACGAGGAGCACCACTGCGAACATTTATGTACAATTACTCCCCCCACCCTTTGGGCGTATTTCCTTGGGGATAATTATAGGATCAAAGATATTAACTTTGCTTTTCAATTCATTATTCACAGAGCCATTCTGAGTTTCAAAAACATTGAACCCATTTAAAAACCTGCCAAGTAGGCATACGCTCGTGGGTTCCCCGCCCTGGCCACTGCCTATTACCCGTTTAATTTCCTTTCCCAGATAAGTCAGTTTGTAATGATACCTAAAAGCTTGTTTTCATTTGCATTTTTAATTTCTAGCCCAAACACTCTTTTCCTCGTAAGGATGAACTAGTCCTGTTTGCACTTGTGGATACATCTGTTTCTCACCTTCCAGCAGGTTCAAGAATTGGCATGCTCCATCAATGCGCTCTGCATTTGGTCAGTTATGTCTGTCCCATATATTTTCCCATCTAGATTGCTTCCATTTTTTAAAAATCTGTTTGTCATATTTTGATAAGCAAACATTTTTTTCTTCATATCGCATCTATAAAATGCCACGCACTGAAAATAAATGGGCAGCTCAAGTCAGGGTCTCCTCTATGGATAAGATTAGGTACTATTTCTTAATTAACAGGGAGATGTTATTTTTCATCAGTCCTAGAAAAGATGAGAAAGTGGTACTACCCAATGTTGGCAAGGATGTGGGGAAATGAGCATTGCCATATGCTGTTGGCAGCAATGTAGTCTGCAGTGTTTCTGATGGACGGTTTGGCATTATTTAATTATTGATGTTTATATTCTTTGACCTAGAATTTCTGCTTCAAAATATTTCTTCACATATGCAACAAGATCTATGTACCAGCCTCTTCTCAGCAGCACTGTTTCTGGTATTCGAAAAAGTAACAACCAGAGACAACCCATGTGCCCCAAAATAGGGAGATGGTTAAAGAAATTATAGTGTTTGTATACAGTTGAGTACTCTGCCACCAGGGAGAAAATGGAGCTGCTACTGGCTTGGAAAGATGTCTGAAATATGTTTTTTCAGTGAAAAAACCAAGTTGTACTACACTATGTAAAATGTGTGGTCCCACTGCTTTTTAATTTTTTTATTGATTTACAGTATTGCGTTAGTTTCTGGTGTACAGCATAGTGATGGAGTTATACATCTGTATATTCCTTTTTGTATTCTTTTCCATTATAGGTTATTACAAACTATTGAATATAGTCCCCTGTGCTGTACAGTAAGACCTTGTTGTTTATTTTATATATAGTAGTATGTATCTGCAAATCCCAAACTCCCAATTTGTCCCTCCCCCAACCTTTTTCCCCTGGTAAGCATAAGTTTATTTTCTATGAGTTTGTTTTTGTTTTGTAAATAAGTTCATTTGTGTCATTTTTTTAGATTCCACATATAGATGATATCACATGGCATTTGTCTTTCTGTGTCTGACTTACTTCACTTAGCATGATAATCTCCAGGTCCGTCCATGTTGCTGCAAATGGCATTATTTCACTCTTTTCTATGGCTGAGTAATATTCTATTTTGAAACCAATATTAAGAAGTGTAAGAGGTCCTTAAAGATGTGGAAGTTGGAGGATTGCAAACAATCGTCATTTTCTCCACATTTTTCTGGAATGATGAATCAGTGACAGGCATTCCTTTTGAAATCAGAAAAGTAATTAGATAAGTTTAAAATTACTTGAAAGCAACTGAGACTAATTTTAAGGAGTCTAATGGTTGTACGAAGCCAGGAGAAATCTGTTTAGTGGAAGAACAAAGACAGCTTTGTGAAGGAGGCGTTTTTAAACTGGGCCTCAGTGTGGAATGGGGTGAGTGTTATTAGTTGGCTGGAGTCACCATACTTAAATAGTGTAGACGGGGTGACATTTTTTAAAACAGAAACTTGTGTTTTCACAGTTCTGGAGGCTGAAAGTCCAAGAGCAAATAGTGGGCAGAGTTGGTTCCTGGTGTGGTCTCTTTCCTTGGCTTTTAGATGGTTGTCTTCCTCTGGGTCACCATGTGGTCCTTCCTCCATGTGTGTCTGTGTCCTAACCTCCTCTTCTTATTGTGTCACCAGTCATAGGGATCGAGGCCTACCCTTATGACCTCATTTTAATTTCATTACCTCTTCAAAGACCCTATCTCCAAATACAGTCACATTCTGAGATACTAGGGGGCGGGGGTTAGAATTTCAATGTATGAATTTGGGGGAGGACACAGTTCAGCTCAAGCAGGGGAGATGGGGAGTAATCCAGGAAGCCAGGGGAGATTCAGAGAGAGTTTGTTTGTGGAACACCCCATGCTGGAGAGTGTGGCTGACATAAGAAAACTTGCTACTTGGAGAACCCAGATTCAAGGCTGGTATTTGATAAACGTGTGATAAAAGGAAAGCGAGAAACCGAAGTAGGCAGCTGCCAGACTGAGTAAGAGCTGATGCTGTCCTGTGGCACCTTCGTTAAGAGAGCCAGTGACCTTCAACTTCGTAAATGGATCCAAAACCCAGGTCAGTGCCTTGGTCTCCCAGGGCCAGGCTGGCTACAAGCAAACCCACCTAAATCTAGCTCCTTTGCCTGGTAGCTCAAAAACCCCACAGGATGGGGCCCTTACACTTTTCAGGGGCTTCCAAACCCATCCTAGAAGAGCTCTCTGAAATTCCAGAATTATGACAAGGAAATGCCTTCACCTTTATTTATTTATGTAAAATGATAATGATGATGATGATGTGTTTCAAAGTAAGGCAGGAATCGTGTGGCATTTGCCTCCTATGGCACCCTAGTCAACACGATCTATTATAATTGATAATTCTACCGTGCTGTCAGATCAGTTAATAAACCCATTACAAAATGATCTCATGTACAGTTGATCAACTTACTGCTGAAATATGGACCTTGAGTCACGTGTAGGGAAAGTTGAGCCATGAATGGAAGCTGCCATCACAAGACAGGTTCTTGGTGGGAGGGCATAGCCCAGTGGAAGAGCACGTGCTTAGCACGTACGAGATCCTGGGTTCAATCCCCAGTACTGCCACTGAAAAAAAGAAAAGGCTAGTTCTTTACGAAAATCAGATTCCATTTCAATTATTTTAACAGTCTGAGCTCAGTGCGGGCTGTATTGGTTTGCTAGGGCTGCTGTCACAAAGTACCACAAATCGAGTGGCTTAAAACAACAGAAATGTATTCTCTCACAGTTCCGGAGACCAGAAGTCCAGATGGAGATCAGGATGCTGGCAGGGTTGTGCTGCCTTTGGAGGCCCTGCGGGAGAACCTGCTCCACGCTTTTCTCTTAGCTTCCAGTGTTGCCCCAGTCCTGGGCTCTCTTTGGCTTCTGCTCCCATCTCTCCAGTCTCTGCCTCTGTCATCTCGTGCTCTTCTCCAGTGTGTGTCTGTGTGTCTCTTCTCCTCTTTTAAGGACACTAGTCATTGGGTTTAGGGTCCACTCTAATCGAATATAACCTCTTCTTAACTTGAATGGCATCTGCAAAGGCCCTATTTGCAAATAAGGTCACACTCACAGGTACCAGGTCGACACATCTCCTTGAGGGACCGTTCAACCCACAGCTTGGGAAGCGCCTATTTCAAGTTATAGAGAATTTCAAGGGCATATAAATTGCCAAAAATCCCAAGATGAAACCTTGGTGGTAACATACTGCGGTCCTCACTGCGGAACATTCCAGACTAGGGCTGGCTGCCTCTGGTTCTTGACTACTTGAGTGTAGCTGATCTGAACAGATATGCTTCATACTAACACAGCAGGTTTGGAATTCTTAGTACAAAAAAAAAGAGTGTAAAGTATCTCCTTAATATATTTATATATTGAGTCCACTTTGAAATAGACATTTTAGATACAGTGGGTTTCATAAAATAGCTTATGAAAATTAATTTTTAAACCTAAGGATTGCCTGCAATTACAATTCCAGGCCACAGAGAAAAAGTGGAGACGAGAATGTATAGACAAAAGGAGCTTGGGTCAGAGTAAGAAATGAATTAGATAGAGGAGGCAGTTCACTGCTAGCACAGGGCCTGGCACATAGTAGGTGTTCGATTAATACTCACTTTCCTCTCCCTTCTGGATGAGTGGTATGCCTGTTGTGGGATGTGTCTCCGGGCCCTGTGATCAAGAAAGACTTCCTCAGTGAGTTGGCATGTGGGTTTCAGGTCTTGATTTCAGCTCCCGGGGCTGTAGTAAGAGATTTTCTGTCCAGTAAGCCTCGTGGCTAGGGTGTATTAACTCATTGATTTCTCCCTGGGAAGTGAAGCACTGGAGTCCCAAGATGCAAAGTGACTTGTCCAATGTCATTCATCTGCCCAAGGTCACTCACCAGTTGGTGGTGGAGCTGGGTTCCATGTGGCACTAGCAGGAGTGGGAGTCAGGGGCCTCCTGCCCAGAGTGATGGCCAAGCTTGTGGATGTACCTGTGGATCTGGGCACATCTTTGGGAGCCACAGGGACCAGAAATGTTCCAGCTGTTAAGGGCCATGAAGAGCCGCCCTGGGGTTCCCAGTGCCTGTGGAGTCAGGCAGGTGATAGACGCGAGGGAAGGGTCTAGCCACCAGGCCTGGCTGCTGGGCAGGAATGTGGCCCCTTTCTCAGGGCCACATGTTCAAGAGTGAGTGCAGTGTGGTGGCCAAGAGCACAGGCTCTGAACCAACTCAACGCTTCCTAGCCAGTCACTGGACCCCTCTCAGCTTCTGTTTCCTTGGGTGTGAAATGGGGCTAGTGATGGCCCCTGCTTCCTAAGGTTGCAATGAGGAGCAAGTAGCTTACTGTGTAAAATCCACCCCCTGCAGTGCCTGGTGCCTGCTAAGTGTTCGAGAAATGTCAGCTGTTCTTTTCATTCATTAGAAGCCGAAATCCATATTTTTATGGAAAATCTCCCAGTTTTTAAATGTAGACCAATAATTTCAACTTTTACAATCCCAGGATGAACCATGATGATGGCCCCTGAGGTGCCAACTCACAGCCTCTGTTTAGAATTTTGCTAATAGGAAGTGGCATCCCAGGAGATCTTTTCCCTATCCCATTCCTGGCTGGTGTGATGGGGTTAATGATTGTGCTGGACAGGTGAGTGAGTAAGTGAACAAGACAGCAAATGAATGAATGGATAGATGGATGAACAAGTGAACCATGGAACCATAAGTGATGATGAATGAATGCACTAGTGAGTGAAAAACTTATGAAAGATTTAATGAATGGGTGACAAACGTACCATTGAGTGAACAAATGAATGAATGTACAAATGAATGAACGAGTGAGCACACTAATGAATAAATGAAAAAAAAACGAATTTACCAATGAAGAACAATAAACAAGAAATGCAATTGAAGATTTTCAAGAAGAGATATTTTAGAGGATCAAGTCAATCTATCCAAAACTGAGCACTGAACGTTCCCCCAATCCTATCCCTTCTCAGTGGATGACAGCTCTGTCCCTCCAGGGGCTCAGGCCAAAAACTTTGACTTCTCCTTCTCTCTTATGCCCACACTTGATCCTTCAGCAAATTCTGATGTCTACCTTTAATGATACATCCCAAATCTGCCCAGTCTTCTTCCTTCTCAGCCGCCACGGAGTTCAGCCCCCATTATCATTTGCCTGAACCAATACAGTCATCTCCTCCCGACTTGTGCCTTCGCCTTCCATAGTTTGTTTCCCCCACAGTAGCCAAAAGTGCCTGTGAACCCCTGAGTCAGGTCACATTCCTCCTCTGCTGAAACCCTCCGTGGCTTCCACTTCACTCAAAACAAAAGCCCAAGTTCTCCATGCAGCCCCCAAGGCCCTTCACAACCTGCCCGGTCACCTCTCTGCCCTCACCTCCTCCCTTTTTCCACTCAACCACTCTACTCCAGCCATACTGGTCTCTTTGTGCTGTCCCCCAAATATGTCAGGCAGACGCATTCCTGCCTCAGGACCTTTGCACTTGCTATTTATTCTGCCTAAGATACTAAGGTAACTTAGGTCAACACTGTCACCTTGACCACCCAATCTAATACTGCAGCCTGCCCAGTGATCCCTCCTAGAGGTCCCAGCCCCCTTGTTCTGCTCTGCTTTCTCTTTTTACCAAAGCACTTTTCACCTTCCATCACACTATTAATTTACTGATTTATTATATTATGTTTGCTGTCTGTCTCCTCCACTGGAGCGTCAGTCCCAGGAATACAGGGCTCTGTCTGTTGACCAGTATATCCTGAACCCCTGGGACAAAGCCTAGCATAGTAAGTGCTCCATAAATGCTTAAGAGCAAAAATATGTGCAGGCAGAGGCACAGCTGTCTCATTCTTTGGTGATCATTTCTAAAGTGAAATGTCCATAGGAAGCTAAGATCCTATCCACACCTCCTCCGGAAGGGTTTCCAAGTATGCTCCATGCAGCTCTGGGGGTCCTGCACAGAGGCTCCCACCTCATTTCACTCTGTCGCATGACCCTCTGAGTCATTAGATGTGAGATGGAGAGGGAGATACAGAAGGTTGGCTCTGGCAATGGAGAGCCATCAGCCTCCTCGTTGACAGCCTGAGCTCTCATTGGTTATTTCCAATACTATTTTCAGGGACATCACCCTGTCATAAGCTGCATCTCTGGAAAGCTAAGCCCATGGGTCATGATGGTTCCCTCAGGCCAGAGGGCTTGCTTGCTTGGGAGGCTAATGGATTCCCTGGCCACAATCTGTGCCCGGGCCACACATCGGTTAATTTCCTCTGCAGGAACACCCTGACATTCTCCATCCTTTCCCTGGCAGGGTCTCCCTTCGCCCGAGCCAGCATTAAAAGTGCCAAGCTGGAGAACTCGACTTTTTTTCACAAAAAGGAGAGGAGGATGCGTTTCTACATCCGCCGCATGGTCAAAACTCAGGCCTTCTACTGGACTGTGCTCAGTCTGGTAGCCCTCAACACGCTGTGTGTCGCTATTGTTCACTACAACCAGCCCGAGTGGCTCTCCGACTTCCTCTGTGAGTACCGCCTGGCCCCGCCCCCACTGACTCTCTGATCCCTTCCTCACGCCCTTTTTCTAGTTCTCTTTCTCTGGTGGTGTGTGTTCTATCTTTGGTCCTCACTGACTTTGCACCTTCATTTGGCCCTGTCTGCAACTGGAATTGGGGCTGATGTTGCTGCTGCCACTGTGACAGAACCCAGTTTCTTTGAGCCTGAGAGCTGGAAGCTGGAATTTGGGCCACCAGACATTTCCACAATCACTTTCTAAGAAAGGCACGTAGGGGTGCTGGTGAAGGGGACATTGAAAGAGAGACAGAGAGAGTCAGAGACTGCAGGACAGCCAGATAGAGACAGAAACATATGTGTGCATCTCTGTTCAATGTTAAATAATTTATGATTGAGAAATGGGGGTGCCTTAGAGACAAAAAAGTGACCCATATGTTGTGCTGATTTTCTCTGCTCACTTCTGACTCTCTGCTTCTCCCCTCTTCTTCCAACCTTCTTCTTCCTTCCCCTTTCCTCTCCTGTCCTTTTTGAGTTCCTTATGTCTGGGATTCATTCCTAGAAGACACCTTCCAACAAGTATGAGAATGTCTTGCTGCTTCAGTGGGTATCAGGGCCTCCAAGGCTTTGCCCTTCTGGGCCTATTCCCAGAATTCCTATTTCAGGAATTAACATAAGATAGTATGAAAATTGATGGCTAGATGTGGGGAGGAGAAGCAGTGAAAGGTGGGGAGACCTCTGAACAGGATTTAAAAAGTAAAGAGCTCTGAGGAATCAACAAAAGTAGTGGCTGGACAGTGAGGAAGGCAAGTGGATACCTTGACTCTGACTTGTGGGCCCAAAATGAGGATTCCCCAAAACCTTCTTGCCTGCTGGCTGCCCTCCTACATCTACTGGCTTTTCTGACTTAGGTCTGTAGATTCTCTGTCCTTCTGACCTGGTTCGGAATTCACCCAGACAACCATTGGAGAAGTCGAGTCTTCAGCCTAGAGAGGCCTGGGAGCCTAGTCTAATTCATTGTCTCCTTGTAACCGTCATCGTTCCCAGTCACATTGGCTGACCCCCCAGGACACTCCCTAGTGGCTAGTTCTCCTTCCCAGAGCCCTGACCTAGTTCCAACCTTAGTAATTGCATTTAGTCCCCCTGGAGTCTCTTATAAATGAGGACTATTTACTTTTTGTCTTAACCTCCTCTGATAGCCTATTTTTAATCTCCCGTATTCTCCCCACTAATCACCTTGCTCTGTCTGTCCTGGTTCAGGAACAGGGAGTTGGGACTCTCTGCCTGGGGCCTCTGTGTCTATAAATGTCCTTTAACTATCCCCATTTTCCAGTTGAGAAAATTGTTGCACAGAGAGGTTAAGACACTTGCCCACAGTCACCCAGCTAGTTAGTGATGTAGCCAGGATTTGAACCCAGAGTCCGAGCTGTATCTAATGGTGCATCCCTGCCCTGATCACCAGGTAACCTGGGTTCTCAATGCCTGCTCTGCCTCTAACTCTCTGTGTGACCTTGGACAAGTTATTCCATTGTCCATCAGTCAAAGACGTCTTCAATCATAAGACACACATTTATTTTTATTTTATGTGCCACTGAAAAATAAAACACTACTGCCATCTAAGCTAGGGCATGTCGATTTTAAGATACACTCCAGTTACAGAGATGTCAGAATGTGAACAGAAATGCGTCTTGGAATCGATGAAGTGTAGTCGTCTCTCCGGGTCTCAAATTCCTCTTCTGTATTTGGTGGAAATTGGATCTGATGGCCCTGGAAGTTCTCCCAGACCCACCAGTGCTACAGAAAAGTAGGTCTCAGGTCCTGTACAACACCAGCTATCGTGTTTCCATGGTAACTGAGGAACAAACATCTTGGAAACTCTTAAGTCCTCCTAGAGTTGCTTCAGGCGGTGTTTGGGATGCACCAGATATTAAGACATTTTGGTCCTGGGGGCCCTGGAGACCCTGGAGTTTCCCTCAGACGCGAGGAGCTCCTCGTGAGTCCTGAAACTAAAGGAAAGTTTAAATCAGGAATGAATGGGAAAGACCTTGACAGTCAGTTCAAGCCACTTCTTCAAAGAATGATGTAACAAATATCCTTGACCTTCAAATGGAGTTAGCTATGTGACCAAAATCGAATTCTTGGAAGTTTGAGTTCTCTGTCTTCTCTTTCTGTATGCTCTCTTCCCCTCAGAATTCTTCCTTACCTCTTTTTTCCCTCCATTAGGTGACTACCTATACCCTCCCTGAATTTTTTTCTTCCTATCCCACCAAGAAAACCTCAGAAGAGGATCTGCTATTAACTATTTCTTTGCTGGAGCAAACAAATATCCATAAGTTACTCTCCCCAAGACATTTGCACCTTTATGCTTTCTTACCAAAAAACAAAAGGCTTTACCTTTTTTAATACATAATTTATTTTTAATATTTTATATTCTTTTTTTAAATTGAAGTGTGGTCAATTTACAGTGTTAGTTTCAGGTGTACAGCAGAGCAATTCAGTTACACATATACACACATAACATACATATGTTTTCAGTTTCTCTTCCATTATGTCTCATTACAAGAAATTTAATATAGTTCCCTGTACTATACAGTAGGTCCAAAAAGTTTTGTCTTGCTCAAGACTTTTAGACATCGGCAAGATGGAATTTCCAGGGCCATCAAATGGGTTTTCCAAGTTGGGAGAAAAGCCATGCTTTAGATTGGTGGCCCGAAGTATTCCAACTTAAGTCCCTCACACAAGGATTACAAATAGGGCACTGTGATTTCTATTTCTATTATTCCTTTAGCACTTAGGCATGTCAGGGGAGCATTATTTTGTTAGTTATCCAATTAGTTCGTTAATCAGTTAGTTGTTAGTTAGTTAGTTAGTTAGTTAAATTCATTTGTTGGTTTTAAAAATGAAGTAAGCACCCAGGAACCCATCAGCCAGGGTTACTATTAACAGGAAGTCAGAGCCACCTGGAACCTTCCCCACAAATCTAATCTTCTCTCTGTTTCCCACCCCTCCTCCCTTCTAGACTATGCAGAATTCATTTTCTTAGGACTCTTTATGTCCGAAATGTTTATAAAAATGTACGGGCTTGGGACGCGGCCTTACTTCCACTCTTCCTTCAACTGTTTTGATTGTGGGGTAAGTGCTCTGGTTTCGAAGGAGTTCATTTCTCCAGCTCTTGCTTAGAATGACTGACACCTGGGGACATCAGGAAAAAGAGAGAGGTGTGCTCACCCCTGGCTATCAGAGACTCTGCCGAATGCAAAAGGAAGGGGAGGACGGTCCCCGACTTTGGCGAGGATCCAGAGCTCCAAGAACCCTCCTCAGCCACTGCCAGTGGGAGGGGAAACTTATGGACCCTCTTTGGAAAGTAGGGGTGACCTTGGCAATTCCACTTAGAGAAGCTCACACAGATGCCCAGCAGACACATACAAAAATGCTTGGAGCAGCCTTGCTTATAAGAGTCCCAAACCAAATGACCCAAATATCCCTTTTCGGAAGAGTGGATGAGTGAGTGGTGGCATAGCCATATGATAGAATTCTCTGCACCAGTGAGAGGCAACCAACAACAGCCACACCCATCAGCCACGTCATATTGCAGAAAAGGAGGCAGACACTGACAAAACCAGTCCATACGGCGTGATTCTGCTTATCAGAGTTCAGATGGACAAAACTAAGCTATATTGGTTAGGGATGGTACTTGAACACTTTAAAAAGGCAAAGACCTCAAAAACATGATAAGTGAAAGAAGTCAGACATCAAATGTCACATATTGCATAATTCCATTTATATGAAATGTCCAGAACAGGCAAAGCTATAGAGACAGAAAGTGGACTAGTGGTTGCCAGGGGCTGGGAGGAGGCGGGTAAGGAGAGACTGCTAACGGGTACGGGGTCTCCTTTGAGGGTAACGGAAATGTTTTGGAACTAGAGAGGTGATGGTCGCACAACACTGTAAATGTACTAAATGCCACTGAACTGTGCGCTATTTTAAGTTAACCATTAGGTTACCTGGATTTCACCTCAAGCTTTTTTTAATGCAAGGAAATGATTACTATAAAATTCAGAGTGGTGGTTATGTCTCGGGGTCCCTGGAAGCTCTCGGGGTGCTGATATGTCCTGTTTCTAAGCTGTGCTCCCTAAATTCATATATTGAAGCTCTAAACCCTTGTGTGATGGTATTTGGAGATGGGAGGGAAGTAGGGTTAGAGGTAGGTAGTGGTTGTGTGGCCATTCACTTCGTAATTATACGTTTCAGGAATTCTTTGCTCTCATCAGCTCTTAATAAGTTAAATGAGAGAAGAGATGAGAGCGGTCTAAGGGTGGGGGTCAGGCTGGGTTCCTGAAAGTTTCAGGGCCAGGGCATGTTTGCAAGGAGCCTGGACGCGAGACCCAGTCCCCTGCTCTAGGTCATCATCGGGAGCATCTTTGAGGTCATCTGGGCCGTCATAAAACCCGGCACATCCTTTGGAATCAGCGTGTTACGAGCCCTCAGGTTATTGCGTATTTTCAAAGTCACAAAGTAAGTCTTTGGGATCTGCTGGCATCCCGATGGGGGCAGGGATGGGGGCCAGGGTGGGACCACCTCTAGCATGTTGGGAACCCTGGCGCAGCCTGACCCCCAACCCGCAACCCTGGCCTCTGTTGGCAGGTACTGGGCATCTCTCAGGAACCTGGTCGTCTCTCTTCTCAACTCCATGAAATCCATCATCAGCCTGTTGTTCCTCCTTTTCCTGTTCATCGTTGTCTTTGCCCTTCTGGGAATGCAACTCTTTGGCGGCCAGTAAGTGCTCAGCAGATTCTCTGACTTCTGCTTCCCTGGGGTCCAGCCAGGGGCCTCCCACCCCCAGACTCCTTGCTCAGTGCATCCAGAGCCCCAGGCCCACCTGCATCACACAGTCTGGCCCCCTCATGGCCTGGATGCCTGGTGCACTCACCCAGATGGGCGGGGCCCTGGGTACCACTCAGGGTGTCCTTCTAGAGAGCAGAGATGCTGAAGATATTGCCTTGAGATACGGTGCCAAACCCTCAGAACACCTGGGGTGGGGCCAACGTGAAATGTCTGTGTCCTCCCCACAGGTTTAATTTCGATGAAGGGACTCCTCCTACCAACTTTGACACTTTTCCAGCAGCAATAATGACGGTGTTTCAGGTACAACCTTCACCCGGTCCCACAAATGCAGGGAAGCGCCAGCGTTCACTAGGAGGCAGAGGGAGCAGGGAACGTGGGCAGGAGCCTTCACTTTGGTTTCCACAGGAAGAAGTGGGCAGGACAGATTAAGCAGGTGTAAGATTGGCTAGTTTGAATAATTTCAGCAGGCCCAGGGGCGTAGGGGCTGTCCCGAGTTCTCTGGCACTTGACTGCGGGCTGATTCAGGCAGGGGAATGTTGGCCCTGAGCTTAAGAGCCCAAGAGAGGAGATGGTTGGGAGTGTGGGCTCTGGATTGGTTGGTTTGCATTTGAAAAGCGTGCTCACAGGCCAGCTGTTTACTGTCTCTAAGAATTAGCTAGTCCTGACTCCCCCCAGGGTCAGCAAGGCCCCATACGTCAAAGCATCAGAATATAGAAAATACTAGACATGGCTAATAAACATCCTCCCCCAGACTGGAGGACACCCCAGGCCCATATTCCAGGGCAAATATATGGACCCTGGGTGGTCTCCCCAGACCAGCTTCTGCACCCATACAGACATGTGCCCTGAGGTTTGGAACTGGCTTAGCTGGGACCTCCAGAGCCTTTCCAAGTGGGTTCTGTCTCTTTAGGGGACAGAGAGTTTATGGGAAATAGAACTTCACTCCTCTCTTCTCCTGGGGGGGCAGATTATTTCTAAATGAGATCCCTAGACAAGCAGTTGGAAAGGGAAACCATCCATGAAGTTCTGAGCCCTCAGATAAATGATTATTAATGGTAGTAATCGCCAGCCAGATACCTTCAGCACGAGGGTTCTTACCCCAGAGGGATTCTGTCCCCAAGGGACACCTAGAAGTATCTGAAAATATTTTTGCTTATCACAACTGGGGGTGGGTGGGGGTGTTACTGGCATCTAATAGGTAGAGGCCGGGGTGCCACTCATTGCACGCATCCTACAGTGCATAGGATGGCAGGAAGTCCCCAGGTGTCAGCAGTGCCAAGGCTGAGAAACCCTGCATTGACAGATTAACGTCTTTGGAGTTCTTTCACATTTAATTTATCCTCATGGAAATAATACAAAGGAGGGAAGTGGGATATTTTTTAACAGCTGGGTGGATGCTGTGTACACATCCCTTTAGCCCTTCCCATGCGCATCAGTACAACTTCTATTTGCCAGCACCTGAGTCCCTTTTCCTGAGGTTTCCTCTGGTCACCAGTACCACCACCATCCTCACCCGCAGACACAGGAGTCCAGCAATACCAGTGAATATATGGCTTAAACAAGGGAAATTCCTTTCTCACAGTTCCGGAGGCTGGAAGTCCATGATCGGGGTGCATGCAGGGTTGGTTCCTGGTGAGGACTCTCTTCCTGGCTTGCAGACGGCCACCTTCTCACTTCTGTCTCACAGGGCAGGGGGAGAGAGAGAAGAGACACAGGGAGAGACCAAGTTCTCTGGTGGCTTTTCTTAGAAAGGCACTAATCCCTTCATGAGGGCCCCACTGTCATGTCTTCATCTAACCCTACTTCCCTCCCATCTCCAAATACCATCACACAAGGGTTTAGAGCTTCAACATATGAATTTAGGGAGCACAGCTTAGCTGCTAGCAAACTCCCTTACCACATCAGGGCAGAGTCCTCCAGGGTCACTTTTTCCTAGAAGCCAGGCCGAGAGCCCTTTCCTCTCGCAGACAGACAAGCCCCTCCTCCCCCAGAGAGAAGGGCCAAGGAGGGGCCCACGCGGCAGGTCCCGGCTCCCACAGCTGCATCTCCGAGGGGCCCAAGGCTGAGAGGGGGGTTGGCTGTGTGTTTCTCCCTCCCCTTTCAGATCCTGACGGGCGAAGACTGGAACGAGGTCATGTACGACGGCATCAAGTCTCAGGGGGGCGTGCAGGGCGGCATGGTGTTCTCCATCTACTTCATCGTGCTGACGCTCTTCGGGAACTGTATCCTCTGTGCGGGGAGATGGGGACGCGCCTGGGCCTCGGGGAGAGCAGATCGGGGGCGCATGGGAGGGGTTCAGGAGTCCCGGGTGTCAGGGTCCAAGTGGCGATGCTTTCCCTGACTCCGGCGTTTGCAGACACCCTCCTGAACGTGTTTTTGGCCATCGCGGTGGATAACTTGGCCAACGCCCAGGAGCTCACCAAGGTGGAGTTGGTGGGAAAATGTTTCTGTGGCAAAGTTACCACTTGCTCATGGCAGATCAGGACCATGCCGGGCATTGGGGGACAGGGACCGAGGTCAGAGCTTTTTGCCCTGGATGTACTGTGCCAGGGAGGAGGCGCCTCCTCCCCACCCCACCCCCGAAACAGACTGTCCCTAATCAGGTGGATTCTGCAGCAGAGGGCGGGGGCTGGGGGGAAGGCAGCAGGGTTGCTGTAGGAAACAGATGGCAAACCCCACCAGAGTGCCTGTTTATAGGGAGTGGGCAGCGTCAAGGGACTTCCAAGGAATGCTGCAGCCCCTAGGCTAGCAGGCATTGTCACCACCCTAAACCCAAAAGGACGGGACAGATGGAGAATAACCCGGACAAGGTCCTGAGGCTCAGTGTGTGTCCCCGTGAGCTTGGGAGCTGGCCGGACTTCACCACTGAGTGGCAGAAGTAAAGGATTATATGATGCTCATGGTGCCAGGCATCACTGTTATCTCCCTTTTGCAGAAGGGGAAACTGAGGCTCAGGAAGGCAAAGTCACTGGCCCCAGATGGCATGATAATAGCTGCTACTAGTTAGAGCATTGGGCTGTGCATGTCAGGCGCTCAGCACAGTTCTTGGCACACAGTAAGTGCTCAACAAAGGGGGCCTTTATAAGTCACTTGGCATAAACAGGCACCTGGACCAAGAGCTCTCATTTTACCAAGCTGGTAAAGGGGAGGCAGGGATTCGAACCCAGACTTGGTAAGTTCCAGAACCTGAATTCTGTACCCACACACCTTACCAGCTTTCCTTTGAGCTCCAGCTGAGCAGGTAATGATGAAAATAAAAATAACAACAACCAAAGAAAATATGATTGCCCCTCGTGTATGGCAAACACAAGAAAGCATAAGAGATAGGGAGTTACTGTTATCCCCATTTCACAGATGGGAAAACTGAGGCCCAGAGAGGTTGTAACCTTGCCAGAGAGCTAGGAACTGAAAGAGCAGACGTGTGACCTCTCAGAGCAGAAAAGAGAGAAGAGCAGAGGAAATGAGATAGGAAAAGAATTAAGGGAGTTGGGAGTGAGAACTATCCACGCGAAGAGAAACCCAGTTTTCATTCATACTCAGTGATGTTGAATTATCCTGGCAAAACCTGGTACCAAATGCCCCTTCGGGCAGCCTTGGACTCCCTGAGAGTCAGGTCCATCTCAGCCAGGCACAGAGGAGGCAACGTGCTTTCGGTAATACAGCTCACACCCCTGGGATAGCCCACAAGCAGGGCTGCTGGGAACAATTGTACAGGTTGTGCACTGCACAAAGGAAGCTGGGCACCTTGTTGCAATTTGAGGAAAGGGTGTCAGGCATCCTAGGAGCTGGCGGTGGTCTGGCCTAAGCCTTTCGCCCGCAGCTGCATCACATTAAGAGAACTCGCACAGGGTCATTCTCTCAGCCCAGGAGGGCCAGGCCTGCGGCCTGTCTCAGCTTCACAGCCCCATCCCCAGTACCTCGAGGTGTTCAGGACATGTTTATGGAACGGAACCGAACTGAGCAGACTTTGCCAACCCTCCATCTGTCAGCCCTGGCAGGAGGGAGAGAGAGTTTCCCGGGCCCAGCTCCGACTTGGGGAAGTAGGGAGGAACAGAAGTCTCCACCACCCTAAGCACCCGGCCACAGTCCTGGCCACTTGGAGCCAGCTGGCATCACTGCACCAGGGGCTGATCTTATGAGCTCATCCAGATTCCAAGAGCCCATCCTCAAGGGCCGTCATGGGAGAGAGGATGCATCAGGAGGGCGGGAGAAGGGAGGAAGGCAGAGTTATCTCCTGTGATGTGCAGACATCCTCCTCTGGACCCACATTCTTTTTTTTTTTTTTTTTTTTGGTAGGGAGAAGAATTAGGTTTATTTGTTTATTTATTTAATGAAGCTACTGGAGATTGAACCCAGGACCTCGTGCGTGCTAAGCATGCACTCTACCACCGAGCTATACCCTCACCTCCCCGACCCACGTTCTTTCTATCATTTATTCCACAAGCATTTCTTGGTCATTTAATATGTGACCCACTAAGCCATGCTGTGTTTTTATCTCATTTAACCCTCACAGAAAACCTAGGAGGCAAGTCTGCCCATTTTGCACATTTTGTCCTTCATCCAAAAGCATTTATTGAGCACCTCCTGTGCACAGGGCCTGGCCTAGGAGCCAGGGACATAGCAGGGAACAAAACAAGCAGAAATCTCTGCCTTCATGGAGCTGATATTCTAGCGGGAGAGATAGACGAGAAGTAAGTTTGTCAGATGGTGATAACTGCTAAGGAGAAAAGTGAGGTTGGGAAAGTTGGAGAGAGTTGAAATTTTAGATGAAGATTGTGAGGCCCAGAGAAGTTAAGAGACTTGTCCAAGGTAAGCAGAAAGTGGCGGACTTGGGATTTGAACCCAGACTGGTCCAGAACTTGGGCTCCTAACCACGTGCAATGTAATGTAAACTTGAGCATGTTTCAGACTCACCTGCCAGCTTATGGGGAAATGCAGATTCCAGGGCCCAGCTTGGGTTCTTCTAGAGGCCTGGGAATCTGCGTTTGCAGTGTTTTTGAGGCGGCTGGTCCAGGGACTTGGCTCTGAGAAACGCTGGTGTGATGCCAGGAGGAGGGGTGGCCATGGGAGAGCAGGGTGGCCAGCCGGGTCCCAGCCCTGTGTTGTCACTGACAGTGTCCTGATCTGACCATTTCCGAGGTGGTAAGGTTGCTTCTTCCCCCAGAGATCCCCGCGCGGTGGGAGAGGTGCCCTGCCACCGCATGACTTTTCTGATTGGCGGGGTCGTCTCTGGCCATTTCTTTCTCGTTGCTTTTTCTTTGCTTTTTCTTTGTTGGCTTTTCTGTTTTACGAATGAGGCCCTGCATGAAGGCTGAAGAAGGATTTAAAGCCCCCAAACGTCTTTTTCTGTATGTATTTTTAAAACATCTTCCCCCATCCTCCTCCTCTCTGAACCTAACCGGCTGAGAATATCAGTTCCTCTCCTGATTTCCCTTCCGGAGGCTGTTGGCAGTGCATGGGATGGGCCCCGGGATGCCAAATTTTTCTGCACGTGGGGGTCTTGTTGGTATTTTTTTTAAGTCTTGGTTCAGAGAGCTTAAATGGCCCAGAAAATAGTGTGAGAGGAAAATCCTTGCATTAATTTTCAGCTCATTGAGACAAAGTACAGAAAAATCTCCACTGTGGGAAGGGAAGGGAGTCTTTTTCTTTTTCTTTTCGTCTGTGTGTTAAAATATGGCTAATAATGAGCTGGCTATCAAGCGTCTACATAAAGGGGTAGCAGTACGCTTAACCGATGGGCGTCCATTCCAACTAGCGGACCTCCGCTCTGATTGGTCGACCCCCAGGCCAAACCTGTTCGTAGATATTTCAGATGTTGCCCCTGGTTAGCAGTAGGGTCAGAGGTGAGGCCCCGAGGCCCAGTTCATGCTTTGTGAACAGGGATCCATGTGTCTTTTAGGACGAACAAGAAGAAGAGGAGGCAGCCAACCAGAAACTCGCCCTCCAGAAAGCCAAGGAGGTGGCAGAAGTGAGTCCTCTGTCCGCAGCCAACATGTCCATAGCTGTGTAAGTGCCCCCACTCTGGGATGTCATCTGGGCTCCTCAGCCTCTACACCTTCCCAGTCAAGGATTTGGGGGCAGGGACCAGGCTGAGCTTTAGGAAGAGGCGCTTCTGCCCACCCACCCACTTTCACTCAGTAAATAGTTAATAAGCACCTACTCTGTGCCAGGCACTGTTCTGGCTGCTGGGGGTACAGCATTAATAAGAGGTTGAGGGGTACAGCGGGTGCTAGGGGTGGTGAGAGTTGTGATCTTAAGTCTGATTGCCAGGGAAGGTCTCACTGAGAAAGTGACAAAGCCTGAAGAAGGTGAGGGAGGAGCCCTGGGGGGATCTGAGGGAAGGGCATCCCAGGCAGTGGGAACTGCACATGCAAAGGCCCTGAGGCAGGAACATGCCTGGTGGGTTTAGGGAACCTGGAGGAGGCCAGTGAGACTGTAATAGAGTGAGTGAGCGGATCAGGGTTGAGGGGAGGGTAGGAACTGAGGGTAGAGAAGTGATAATCAGATCATGCTGGGCCTTGTGGACTCAGGGGAGGACTTAGAATTTTGCTCTGAGTCAGGTGGTAGACATGGAGGGTTCTTGAGCAGAGGAAGGACAGGACCTGACTCAGTTGTTCACAGGTATACTCATCAGGGGAGCAGACCGTGGGGAGCAAGAGCAAGAGCCAGGAGAGCCAGCTAGGTTGGAGAAGACAGCATTGTTCCCTGCAAAAGAGATAGTGGGGGCTGGACCAGGGCAGTGGCAGAGCAGATAATGGGAGTAGCTGAATTCTGTAAAGATCAGGAAGGTAGAGCGGACAGAATTTGCTGGTGGATTAGAGGAGGGAAGGTGCTAAGAGTTAAGGTGTCCTGATTAAAGAAAGATTCGTTAACAATGCTGCTCTGCATTATGCCTTTGTTGGGTGGTCCGGAGATTTTTGCATTCTGTGGAGCAGTGCATTATGGGACAATGGGAAGGGGGCTTTCTTTCCTAAAGTACAAGGAGGTGGCTATGAAAGGGGAGCCCAGAAAGGTACATGCTCTGGCAGGCAAGCCTATAGGAGATGGTCTGAATAAAACTATCAATACACAGAGAACCCCTAGGATAATCTGTATGCTCCAGGCAGGCCTTCAGCCCAGCCAGCACTCCCAGTAACAGCCCAACTGGTGTTTTGCACAAGTGGATCGGTGGGCACTGCCCCAAGACTCCCAAGTGCCCACGCCGGGGCTTCCAGAACCTGCTCCAGGTCAGTGTCCATTATGATTGACTGTCTCAGAGGTTAAAATATTTTGAATATCAAGACCAGCCCCAGGGGCCATGTGCTACAATTTGAAGAAGAAGAGAGAGGTCTAGGGGGACCTACACCTGGGCTGAGACCCCCATTAGACCAAAACACCCAGCCAGGCCAGGATACCTTACTGGACTGAGATGCCCACCTGGGCCAAGACACCTGTAAGGCCGAGATGTCCAGCCAGGTTGAGTTCTTCACACAGGTTGAAACACCTAGTTGGGTGGAGATACCCTGTCAGGCCAGGATACCCACCTGGGCCAAGGAACCTACCTAGGTGAAGATGCCCAGTGAGATAAAATGCCCCCTGGGCCAGGACACCCACCAGGGTAGAAATGCCCACCTGGGGCAAGACATCCACTGGGGTGGAGATACCCACAGGGCTGAGAGGCCCACCTGGACTGAGACTCCCGTTAGCCTGAGCGCTCCATGCAGGCCGCAGTGCCCAGCAATGCCCTAACCCCTGCGCGCTTCCCTTGCAGGAAGGAGCAACAGAAGAACCAGAAGCCGGCCAAGTCCGTGTGGGAGCAGCGGACCAGCGAGATGCGGAAGCAGAACCTGCTGGCCAGCCGGGAGGCGCTGTACAACGAGATGGACCCGGACGAGCGCTGGAAGGCCGCCTACGCCCGGCACCTGCGGCCCGACATGAAGACCCACCTGGACCGGCCGCTGGTGGTCGATCCCCAGGAGAACCGCAACAACAACACCAACAAGAGCCGCGCGGCCGAGCCCGCGGTGGACCAGCGCCTGGGCCAGCAGCGGGCCGAGGACTTCCTCAGG